AGTGCTTGTGAGGCTGCAGAGAGCTCAGGCAAGGGAAGGAGCCGTTTCTGTATGCTGAGGAAAGCCTAACAGAGGGCTAAAAGCCGGGTTGGATTTGCTTAGGTGGCAGGATGATGTTTGGTGGAAAAGCGCTAGCTGGGTCCTACTTTGTATCCCGTAAAATCAGGAGTTTTGAAGCCTGTTATGTCTCTCTGATTTTTCAGTAAATACGCTGATGTTTATTAGACTTGGACTGACAGAAGCACTGACGTGGGTGTCCAGAGCTGAGCAGATACAGGCTGCTGCCACGTGAACGCTGGGATGCTTTCACTCCGCTGCCTGCAAGCTCAGTGGTTATTCCCCAGCCCTCTCGTGGTACCACCCTCATCACGGCTTCATCTGAGTGGGGTTTGGGGTAAATCTGGTGGCTTGAATAGGAGCTGTATCTGAACACTCAAACTGGGGATTTCTGCTGTGGGAAAGACAACCAAATAAATAAATGAAAAGTGAAAGATGGATGAGCTGGAATGAGCTGTGAACTGACAGCTTTGTGACCGGTTTAGACTTATTTCTTTTTTGTGGTCTAAAGCCGAGTTCCTCATAAATTCTGAAGACATCAGAACTGTAACACAACTGAAACCACCCTAAGATCACTGGAAATATAAAGAGCAGGAGCTGTAATTACAAGACAAGAGGCAGGAAAAAGGGAATGAGTTCTCAAAGGGATATTTTTTGGTATTCAGTTTTGACATTACAGGTTGAATCAGCACACTGACATAATTGTGGGCGTTTGGGGTCGCACAGTGGCTGTTGTACAATCTAATACAGACCTGGAGATGAAAAGAGGTTCACAGTTTAGGGTTCTGGGGTATTTTACTGATCCTGGATTCCTCAAATACATACTTATGCTGTCAGGCTCTGTCAGCGGTGAGGTGACACGCGGTAGACCCCATTCAGCAACCCTTGAGCAGCGTGCTGGTCTTGGGAGCTCTTTCATGCTTTGGTCACTAGATAGAGAGAAGGCCTGCGGGCTTTTGAGGGGGGAAGAGAATATAAAATGAGAGCAGTCACATCAGGTCTGGTCAGAGCCCCATCCAGTCCAGCACCATGTTTCTTAGAGTGGCCAAAAATGGGATAAACCGTAAGAATGAGTCAGTTTGTAGCTGAGGAGTCTGGAACTTGGGTAACTAGCTTTGAGTCTCAGAGCCCGCGGTGCGGCTGTCTCCCGTGAGTCTGTCCTAGAAATCTCTTTAATCCATATAAGCATCTGCAACACCCTCTGGCAGGACTCGCCGCTTAACTCTCTATTAGGGTTAGTTAGTGAAAGAGCTGGGGAAAGAATTAGGAAGTGAACTATGGTAACAATACTCCAGCTGCAACTTGCTATCTAGCATCATGCAATGACCAAGAAACCTCTCCAGGGTATGTGCAAGTGAGAGCTGCAAACTCTCCAGTGGCAACAGTTCACTGTGCAATTGTGGGCAGCAATTTCCCAGCTGCCATCAGTTCCTTTTGTTGTTTCTTCAGAAGAGCCACAGGGCAGCTGACACACAGCAATGAATTCCAGAAAATACTAGCTTTTCAGATGGTTGGGTTCTGTTTTCTTTCCCCCCCCCCCCCCCCCTCACAGAAATTGTCTCTATATAATGCAATTTATTAATATGCATTAGAAGCTTTGGAGTAGATTCCCAGGAGCCCCACACTTGCTAAGCTTAAGCCTGGCATCCCCAGCAGGACGAATTGCTTACCCAGAACTGGAGATGCCTCAAGACTCTGTACCTCTGTTACGAGTCTCCAACAGCTACTTCTGATTTTCAGGTACCCATTTTTGTGCATCAAGAGCAGGCTAACTTCCTCTTGTCTGTGGGTGGAACCAATCTGTTCTGGCTTGTTTGGGATAGGGGCAAACTCCTGACTGCCGGCCTGTTGCGCACTCTCCGTAGTTGTAGCTGAGGTAGGCTGTACGTCAGTCATTTGAATCCTTCCTGGTAGTTATCTTAATTTTACTATTTTTATACACCTATGCCAAACAAGCAGGAATTACAAAATATTTGACTTTCTGCCCTAAATCAAGCATTCTTGTGATACGCCTGGGTGCAAGACAAGCAGGATGTGGTTCCTTTATAGGGCTTCTTTCTCCCTTTCCAGCCCCACTTGCTGTCCTTCTGTAGTTCATGTGGCATGTCCACGTATGCCCCCACTGTATTCTGTCTGCAGACATACTATCTCTTATCAGAACATTCTTGATCTTTAAATAATTTATTTCACTGCGTAATTTTAGATATTAGAAACCTGCTTCAAATTCAGCTGGGAAGGTAGGACATTTCCTCATCCAGAGAAGCATCTGGAGACTCACCTGAGAGTAAAAACGGAACAGAGGCGAAGACCTGGCTCAGGTGGTCTGAGCCATCTTCCTCACCAGCACTGGAAGAAGACAGGGAACCTTCTTCAGTGCCACGGCAGATCTTTCATGCACAAACACCGCTGTGGGAACGTGCCTGAGGGTATGTAACATCCACTGTTGCCTTCTGATTACAAAAGCCTCCCTACTCAGCCAGCTGGAGCTGTACAGCATTATCTGGTTTCAGGCACCGTATTAAGAATATAATAATCATAATTTTTTAGAGGCCATCTTTATAACAATGAATTAAATGGAGCCCAGAATGGAAACTCGCCCATCTAACCTGTCAGTTTGTTAGGATGGGCACAGCATACTTCTGGCTGGGCCGACAGCTTTCCCTGGCAAGGCTTGGGAGCTGCTGTGGGAGGTGCTCAGTAGGCACTCTGGATGCTGCTGCCCTGGTTTGGAAGGTAGGAGAGTCTGATAGTACGGACAGGCCAGTGCTGTAAGAAACAAAACCGATCAGTTCTGAAGCCCCTCTCTAGATTTAGGTCTGTGAAGCCCGTTCTCCTGGCCACAGCACTGAATCAGACCCATCTGACAGTATTACTTCTTCTCCTGACTTTTTTTTTTTTTTTTTCTTCTTCATTTTCTTTATTTTCTTCTGCCCTTTCTTTCCTGGGAAAAGAAGTAACCTTTCTCTAAGGATAAAAATCTTTATACTCTTTTTCAAGGCAGAAGAAATCTTCAGGGCTTTCAGCTATATAAACCTCATTTGCCATTTTTTTCCCCCCTCCCCATCGTCTCCCTTAATGGACCTCTTATGCATTTATAATGTACTTAGTACCACGGTGTCTAGGGACCTTATACACAATTTATAAAGCAAACATTTTTTTTTCTGAAAGTTTCTACTTCTCTTCTGGCTCTTGCCGATCTCCGAATCAGGCTGTTCTCCTCGATTTGCAAAGGAAGCCAAGTCATCTGTTTTGTCCTCCCAAAACAGACCGTCTTACAGGCTCCTGGATTTGCGTTTGTGGGATGGCACGGACAGGTTCACGGTGATTTATTTTAGCAGCTATTAACTACAGAACTGTCTGTAATCAGAGCTGGCTGTGTTTCTCCATCAGCTTCAGCACTGGCACGAGTCAGCACGGCGCAGCTCCCTCGCTCCGTGCAGGGCAGTATCTGAGGTAAGAGCCCGGAGTGTTTCCCTGTACCTAGAAGTGGCCATATAATTAGAGAAATTAATTCAGTGCTGATGGGGACCGAAATTTTCGATGTCAGTGTCACTAGCTGCAAGCAGCTGGCTGCTGCAGGCACCTGTTGGGAACAGCTTCCTGCTCAGTATCCCCCCGAGCCCGACCGCCGCTCTGCAGGGTGGCCAACCCTTCACAAGTGCCGAAGGCGTGCAGCTGGTTGTGGGAGGGGGTTGCAATCATTCTGTGTCTCTAAAGGTGAGCTCTGTAACCCTGGGGGCCTTTAATGGACCCAGCTCTCTGGCCCCCATTATGGCAGAGCGGGAACAGCGTATTTGTATTTCACGCCACAGTGGCAGTGGGCGATGTGTTCAAGAGCTGACGGAGACCAGCTGAGTGCAGTGCTGGCGCAGTAGGTAACACCGATCAAAGTCTGTGCGCTTCTTGCTCCAAATCGATGTGCTGGAATCCTGCTAGCCTTGTTTTCCAACAACAATATATAACAGCACCTAAGACGAAACGTTATTTGAACATTCCTATGGTTATTTACACTGACTTTTATTTCCTAGGTCACCAAAATTTGACCAGAAACCCCAAAGCCAGTGCCATGGATGCAGACTTACCTTGGGTTGCCTGACTCAATTCAAAGAGTCTTAGAATAGCTGCAGGGGAGCACTGATTACCTCTGAATTTGAGACTGAACGGAAAGGATCTACAGCAATGTAATGAAAAAGGAACACTGATTAATAAGTTGTGGAAGTAATGGATTCAATCGTGAATTAGAAGGATGAGTCAAAATTATATTCCTCCTGTGTAAAAAAAAAAAAAAAAAAAATAAAAAAAAATCCCAAAGACAAAAGTGCTACTCAATCTCCATTGTACTTAGCCAGGCACTAGGAATGCTAAGGGTGCGGTGCCCTTCTCTGCAGCTCTGGACAACACTGCGTTACCGCTGACATGCCCGTCACCCCTCGTCACACTGAACGCTCTGCTTCCCCTCCATTTCTCACCAAAGTCTTTACCTAACAAGCCCCGGCTCGTTCAGAGCAGTGCTGGGACTGTTTCACGGTCTGGGAGTGCAGGACCCTCCTCAGCAGTTTTTGAGAGGGACAGATGTGCAGATCTGTCCTCCGCACCACTGCGCAACCACAGCTTCCTTCTGCTTCATCTCCCAGGCTCAATCTCACTCAGACAGGAGCCCTCCCTTAGCTCAACCTTACTGGAGATGACAAGTTTGACTAAGTACGAACACTCATGCAAGTGAAGTCTTCAATTAAGCCTCTATAAAATAATGTCTCAAAGTATAAACAACAGTTTTACTAGCTTGTTGACTAATAAAAAAATACAAGGTGAAAGGTATTAGTAATGTAAACTAACATTTCTCATTTCTCTTTAAACTGGTAAACTACAAGTAATCCTTAGAGTGGTTTCAGTAAACTTGGTTGCAATTTCTAGCTAAAAAAAACCACCTCTGAAACAAGCTGTACAGAAAAACCCCATGTATTTCAAGGAGCGGCACAGAAATCTGGGAAGTGATCAAGTCATAAACAAAAACATGAAATGGAAATGAGCATCCAAACCAGCAAAATATATTTAAGTAATATCACAAATACACAATAATAAAAAAAAAAATCTATTTACAGATCTAAAATTGATATGTCCAGTAAAAATCCTCCCACAGAAGGGTATTTATAAACAAGAAAATTAACCTGGTTACATTGCCTACTGCTGACAACAGAGGTGCTTTACAGCTAGCATAGCATTAATTATGCCTTTGCAAAATAAAGGGAAAACTTAATAAAGGTAAAGAGTTATTTCTGGGGAAAACTTGAACTGAAGGCTGGACAATAACAATCACAAGGCATACAAAGCCTAAGGAACTGCAAATACGTAACTCTGGTAGTGCAAAAATGAAGAAGAATGGCTTTTTTCCCCAATGCTTGTTAAGAGAAAAATACTACTGTGAGTTTGCAATTTGAATTCCTTTTAAAGACTTAAATTAGTACAACTTAGTGCATTTGCATGTTTCAGCAAGGCTGATACTATACAGGAGGTAAATGAAGCAAAGTCAATATAACATTGCTACCGTGGTACAAATTTATAACCACCTTTGTAACAAAATGTCTGAACACAGAGTACAGAGACAATCCTCTAAAAAACAAGCTTAGATTTTCTCCATCCAGACAATCTGTAAGCATGCTACCACTAAACAACTTGTACGTAACTGATAGCATATGTAACATTCTTTGGAATTAGATTTCAATTCCTCTTTCAGGCGTTGCCCCTGCATTTCATACAGGGAACAGCGGAGGGATAACTCCTCACTCCTCACTGGGATTAGGAGCTCCTGGTGCCTTGTCCCTCAAGCAGAGACCCACAGAGGTGTGTGAGCACCAGGAGCTGGAGAAAAACTCCACCTGGGAACGTGGGTCACGGTAGGACACCTTGACATTAGTCAGTGTAGAAGTGGAGAATTAATGCTGTTGAATTCCTGAGGCTCGTCATCCCACAGCCCTGGTTTTACTGTGTTTTGAAACACACAAGACAGTCTCTTTGTCCAAAAAGGCCTCATTGTTTGAATGGCTGTAAACATTTCTTTTAGTTTAAATCAGCATTCTCACCACACATTGGCTGTTTGAAAAAATAACAAAATCAAAAGTAGGGATATCTTAGCTCATGTTAAAACTATTTCAAATTCAGAAGACTAGAGTTCTTTAATTGAGAAAACTGAAACAACTCTGCAAACACGTGATTAGTTTTAAAAATATTTTTTTTGCTCTATTGTTAGCTGACTCTTTATCTAACTTTCAGCAGACTGCTAAAGACCACCCAGTCTATCCCAGAGAAAATCTAACAGTTTGATAAGTAAGCTGGAAACCATTTAATAAACAGAGGCCAAAGATCAGCACCAATTGTTGCATTTATTCTGCCCAAAGCCAGGCCCATCACTGCACTGCAGAGCGGATACTGCTCACAGTCCCAGGACAGGTCAGGAGCCCCACACTTTTCCTGTTCCCCTTTTTCTACAAAAAGAAAGAAACAGATGATGTCCAAAAAAAATGTAACAGTAGCAGGTAGAAAGCAAGATTTACCCATCATAATTAGCGGGAAGCGTTATAGTTGGTATTCAAAGCTTTTCCAAAACAGAAAGGGCTAACTTCTTGAGTTTCAAATGTTCACAGGGGGACTACCAGGTATTACAGTGTTGCTTTATGGGGACTTTGTTAAAAATTTCTAGTGCTCAAGCTGGAAGAGTTTATGATGCAATCAGATGACCTTTTACTGAAATAGCAGTCAAAATGACACTGATTTTACAAACCAAATGATTGCTTTTATGCAGTCATTTTTCTCAATACTCAAGTGTTGTTGACCAGAAATACCTGGAAATGACTTCTGCAGAGGAGGCAGTGCTGCTTTTCTGCAACCTGACAGATGCTTGTCCAGCCCAACTTCAAGTATCCAACTGACGTGCTTGAATGAGGAGCTTACGTACTCAGCCCAGGCTCCAGAGGATGACTTAGAAGAGAAGTGCTCTAAGGTTACTGAACAGACATAAGGGATTTGTCTGCTTGACCTCTGGCATACGAAAACAAACCCAAAACAAATATAATAGGCACAATCACAGGAAAATTAATCCTAAAATATAGATGAAATGAATCTTCCTCTGGAAATACTTATTTCTCTTCGTTAACGAGCAGTGGAGCACCTCAGGTCACCAGCATGGATTCAGCTGTCTAGCCTTCAGAGAGCTGAATTTAAATGAGGCGACTCCTACCTCAGGATCCCACGTTAGGAATTTAAGTTGGATACCTGAAGTCAGATGGTGCAATTGCCCCCTGTTATCCCAGAGAACAGCCACCTCTCAAACCCGTGACAGAGCTGCAATCACAGCATTTACTTAGAGAAGACCCAGTGGAACTGAGTCTTGGTAGGATCTCTCACCTCTCATTTCTTTACCCCCTTTTCACTTCATGGAAGGGGATGGAGAAAAGCAAAGCAGGCTGGGGGGTGGTGTCTTGCTAAACAAGGTTGTGTAATACACACTAATGAAGAAACTTGGTGGCTGTTGCTTGTAAATCCTACAAAAATCACCATTTTGAATTTGGTGGGTGCAAATTACTCTGGCTATTGCAGATCTCAGGAGCTACTAAGAGGTATCAATGTCTGCAGATTCCCTAACTTAGCTGGCTAAAAAGTTCAAATGGAATTAGAAAAACCCTTGATGGCAAAGACTTAAAAAGCTCTTAAAGTATTTTTATATATTTAAATTAAACCACAAATTAGTAACTTGTATTTTAAACAAATATCAGCTAATGCCTAACATTTTTATTAAAATAGTGATGGAAATGGAAAAAAGTAAACTCTAGGTCTACTGGATTGCACACACATATGCAAAAAGCCCACCACAAATTGTACTGTCTTAGCTGCTTAACTGTTTCACTCCTTATTTTTAGGACCTCGTGGCTGGGAGATCAGAGCTGAGGAATGTTCAGGATTCATTCCTGTCCTACAGGAATAATCCATTCTTTCTGACAAACTCTGCTCATGGTTTTAATAGATAATGATCTCAGTGGTCCAAGCCTTTACTCAGCGTTTTACAGAATCAAGGTTTTCGGCACAGCAAAGACTTCAGATAAACATGGAAGCAAGGCAACACTTGTACTTCCATTTCTTATCTAAGGATTAATTTTTTTGTTAAATGCCTTGAGTCTTTTTTTGTTTGTTTGTTTGGTTTTTGTTTTTGTTTTTTTTTTTTTTTTTCTTCTTCAGGATAGCTTTTCAAAATACAAACTAGTAAGAGCCTGGAAAAGACAGAACCATCCTAACAGGTGAGGGAAAAACTCTCAGTGCACTTTTTATTCCATATATGAATTAACTACTGGGAATATTAAAAAAAAAAAAAAAATCACCAGCAAGATAATGAATTTTTAACACTGAAAAGTTTTTAAAACTGCCCTTCAGAAAACATTGTTCAAGCAGCATCAGAACAGTAGAGGGTTGTCTGATTTCCTTGTTTTCTGTGGCAAATTTCCACTGATGGCAGTAGAGAACTGAGGCAGGGGCTGAAGACATAAAAGCAAATAAAACTAAAGATTCTTGGTAGCTACTTACCTACAATGGCTACTCATTCTTCTATTTTTTTTGGCTCAGTGCTGTTTTATAATACCCTAGACCCCACAATATAATTTCAAGGACATATAAATTCATTTGAGTATTATCTTGGTTCCTTTCCTCTATTTGAACCTTACAGTAGATTTAAATGACAAATAAGCATGCTATAACATTCACAGGAGCTGTTGTTCATCAAACTGGTGACTCTGAACAAAGGCTGCTTTAAGTAACGCATATGAACATGCGACCTGTCTCCAAAATGCATGGTCATATTAAATAAGTCTCTTACCTATGTACAAACAGATCAGTAACAAAACTCAAATATGATAGTTCTAGCCTCTTCTGTTTAAGATTGCAGTTTCTAACTGTTGCATATACTGTAGCTGCTCAATGAGCTCATTAAAATGAGTGTAGCAGACTTTTTCAGAGAAAAATAGTCATATAAAAAGTTGTAAGTATGGTACAGTGAGAAAGTTCCCAGAGCTCTCACTTCATCTTCTCTTTGGTTGCTAATTAGGACTTGACGAGTTTGAAACCCTGTCCTGTGTCCAGCACTGTGGGAAGAAACCAACTCATTTTCAGTCTTTTCAAGCACCTAAAGCACGCTTTACAGACCCAGAACAGATTGAGACCACAAAACCAGTTTGCCAGGTGTACCAGCGGGTAGGTGATGCGCGGGAAGTACATCATCCAGTGTTTGGCAACGTCGCTTCCTGTCGGCAAATGCAAAGTGTAGTCGCTCCAGTGTTTTGACACTCCATACACTGCTTTCACTGTCCGTCCCTTTTCAGACCAGCTGATGTTGCTGTCGGGGTTACAGTTGTACTCAACCCACTGCCTGGTGAAGTCACCAAGCTGAGGAGGGTCCGCCTCCTCGATATCTACAACTCTGGCCATTTCTGCTCCTTGCACGGCAACATACTGGTCATTTACTTTTCTTACTTCTTTAACCCAGGGCTGAGAGTTCTCACAGTCTAAAATGATGATGAGTCGAGAACAGAAAGCGCCGTTCTTTTCTCTCCACCACTCCAACAGTGTGTCAAGTCGTAAAGCATCACCCCCTGCCACAAGAAAGAAAAAAAGACTTAACATTAGGATGAAGAAACAGAAACCGCTGTAGAATTTTGACTGTGGGTTCCAAGAATCCCTTAGTTTAACAACCTGAACAGATAGAAGTTTTCAACCGATCCTCCCTGTTTGTAGATGTTGCAGATCTCCAGAGCGGTATTAACTGATTCCACCTGACCTGCTGTGGCAGATGAGGCCATTAACTCACCCTTGATCAAAAAAAAAAAAAAAACAAACCCAAAAACACACCCAACAAAACAGACTTCCCTCACAGAGTGAAAAAAATGACAACCTATTGAAGAAATCTGGAAATAGCTAAGCAAGAAAAGAAAACCTGAAGTAGAATTTATTTTGTATTAAGTCTTGACAATTTTAAGATAAAAGACAAAAATGGCTTCTTAATGTTTTTATTAATATTGAAAAGGATTCCTCTTTTAAGGAAAAGAGAGGACTTTTGAACACATCACGTGTTAACAGTTTCAAAGCACAAAAAGAAAGCCACTTACAGGCACAATCATCGCTTTGGCTTGAAAAATTCACGTGACCAGAAATCGAGAGATTCCCTCTATAGACACAGTTGTCTTCAGAGCTTCAAGAAAATTAAAATTGGTATGGATTTACAATTTAGTGAAACAAAAATCTCATAGGAATGTTTCCACAATATTTATTTCCTATCAGCTCAGAAAACACTTGCAACTAGAGTGTTCAACTTCTCATGTTCCATCTCAGCTCTTGCTCCAACAATGCTTTGAAAGAGAAGATTGTAATTAAACCAAGTTACCTACAGTGAGGAGTCCTTCTGCTGAAGTGTAATGGATACTGCAAGATCTGTGTAGCTTTGAAAAGCAGACTGCTTACTTCAGTGCCTAAGGAAAACCTCTTGCCAACAAGTGAATAATCTCCATTGGCTCCATAGTGACTATTAATGCGAAGAACTGCTACGTCTAGGTGTTGGGAGGTTGGAGCTATGATACAGAGTTACAACAAAAACACTCTAGTTTGAGAATGTCATTTAAAAAAAAAAAAAAAAAGAGATGACTCTTAAAGGTAGAAAAATGTGATTGAAAATAACCACATTTTAATTCCATAGTGATCTGTCATTGTGGAATAGAAGTACATTTAGCAGCGTTTAAAATCTTGTTAGTAGGAATTTCACTGCACAGATGAATCTCAAACAGAATAGCTGCATATTTCAGCACTTACATTTCTACCTGTAAGGAGTGACAAAAAAGTGCTTCAAATTAATAGCCCAGAGTTAAAGTTTTGAGTGTACTATTGCAGTTAAAGTAGTAGCCCTGTGATTTGCCTTTTACTTTCTCCAAAAATTGCAAACCTGGAAAATTTAGTCCCAAAGAAAATCTCAATATGCAAACCTACAGTAATGACTTGTCTTGGTACATGGTCCCCAAATTGTTGTAGTTATTTACAGCAGAGACTTATATAAAAGCACTTTTCCTGTTCTAGGTAAGCCTTTTGTGTCAATTAGCAGCAAAAATTTCTTTATCCGTTCACACTTTAAAGGCTTATAAATAATCTTTATTTTACTGTAAGTATGCAGGGGTGCAGGTGATTTCAAAACAGTACTGGATAGAATCACCCAAAGAAAACCATCTCATCCTTCATGCACGAACACATGCTCAGCTTCTAACCCCACTGACCTCAGACACGTGGACTTACCAGCCAGCGCAAGATTTAGGCACCAAGCTGTGTAAGAAATCCACACGTCCGGCCACATTTGGCTCCCCGGCAGGTTTCGCAGGCGGTTATGCTGACAGTTTCAGCAGCAAAGACAAAGCTTCATTACCCCAGCTCTTGCCTTTGCCTTCGCTCGGAGAACATGACCTCCCAGGTTATGTGACTGCTCATACTTTATGCATGACTAGTTAACAGTTTCTTTTATACACCACTGTGCTACATCTCAGCTTCCAACAACAGAGGAACATCATTAGCGAACTAATACATCCAGTAAGCCTCCTTTAAAAGATGTCATTACAAAGCAAAGGCTACACTGTTACTGCTGTGCCCTATGACGGCATAAACCGGCAGAGAGACGCTACTTTTTCTATAGATACAAATGTTGTATTTCACTGTTGCCATCTCTATTCATCCTCTCCAGAGGCCAGAGGACTGTACGCATTGCAGGAGCTGATGACCAAACGTTCTGTCTGTCATGAAATGCCACTGTCCAATACATGCAGTACAATTATACAATCAGCCTTCATCTTTTCAGTTTATGCTTCAAGTTACAGTGCTGTCTGGACAGTCACGTTACACTCCATGATTTATCTAAAGTTAATCACAAAAAAGGAAGCAGGGCATGTGACAGGTGCCTATTCCTCTCCTTTATGTCACTATACTATTTCCAAGTAGAAGCTGAAGATGTGCGTGGATAGAGAACTGAAAAGGAGCTCTGTGAGAAAGCTGGACATCGCTGCATTTACACGCTGTATCTTTTAGCACAGAAACTTTCTTTTTATTTTAAGGGTTACCCTGGCCCTTATCCTGAGAGTGAAAACAGGGTTTAATTTAGTCTACAGCTACCTGAACAGGTACACAGAGACCTGAACTTCCCTGTCACACTCCCTGTTGGCCAGACATAAGCCAGGACTGGGCTGGAAGCTGTCCAATTTTTGCACAAACATGTGGGTCTGTATGTTCTAGAAAGCTAACCGTGTCTGTGCTGCCGCCCGGAGCACGGGTGGGAGGCAGAGTTTTGCTGCCAGCCTGCTTCACCCAATGTGTGGACGCACTCAGTAACTGCACAGAGCAGTCAGTGCTCTCATGGACAAACCACCCTGCTCCCAGAGAAGTCACTCAGCCACCCTGGCGCACACTGCGGTACAGCACTCGCGCTAAGCTCACAGTAGAGCCGTGGCTTTTTTAAAATCACTGCCATGGGTGAAGCCTTTGAGAAAAAAGCACGCGTTGCTCTTCAGCAGGTCTAACAGTTCAGGCACGGAGTTGCACCAAAACAAGCACACGGTCTCCAGATGAAAACTGACCTGCACCCAAACACCTCAGTGGGACCACACACAAAGCCAGCATCTGTCTACAGTGTGTAAGAGCACGTGCCCCTGGAAAGAGACTGCTGACAAACAGCCAGGAGCTGGCAGGCAGAGTGCTACCCAAGAGAATTAGTTCTGTCCCAGGATAAAAAAAACAATTGTAAAGTTTCAGTGTATTTACCCCAAGATTCACTTTTTGCGCACAACAGCCTCAGAAGCCCAGCCTCTAGCAGGAGAGCAAGGCTAAACCTACCAACAATTTGAAAACTTCAGTAGGTTTATCATAAAATACCATTGAGACAGGCCTTCCCATTATAAAGAGATCAAAAGCAGGCCAAGAAGAGGGAAAGTGGTGAAGTCTATGCCAAGCATATGACAAGGCATTAAACAGGCCCTTTATATAGGGGTTTGTAGTCTTGAGGCTACACTGTGCCCACAGTTACTCCCAGGATGTCAGCAAACCATGGCTGTTTTCATGATACAAGGTTTGCTATATGTTTGAAGACCCGCTTTTCTCGTGTGGATTGTATACCTGCCTCCTACCTCTTCTATTGAATCTTTTACGAAAAAAAAACCCACCACAGCACATTGTGAGGACACGAATGCAATCCTTCATGGCAGCCTAACTGACACAGTGACACAGAACACTATAATTCACTCTGCCATGTCCAGGGAATGAGAGAAAACTATGCTTGTTCATTACAGTCAACAAATATTCCTCAAAATACAGGAGAAATCTGTCTTTAGAGCAGGAGGGGGTAACTTCCACTTTACTTTCCTGGGAAATAAAAAGTGATCTTTGAAGATGAGTTGATGAAATATAAGGGGAATACGAAATCTTGTTCAAATTTGTAAGCATACATTGGGAGTCAACAATATTTAGATGATTTTGAAAACAAGTGTTAGTTAGCTGCAAAAGGATTGTTATCAGTGACTAAATACTAACATGACATAGATGTTCATGAAGTAACTAACATACCTGACTGTCATATAGAGCAAGGTAAGGAAAGAGATGCTGCTTTACATCAAGTTAACTGCCTACAAAAGGGGCTTCTGCATTTTTCCTTTCTCTCCAGCAGTAGAGGTAGGCAGCCTGCAACCCTGCTTATTTTGGTAATTCCTTGTAGCCCCTGAATCTCTTAACATCCATGCTCTGTATACCACCCTTTCCTTTCTTCCTTCCCTGCCAGGAGCTTGTATGAACCTGTTCTCCAGAGTGGTGGTTCTTTTCCATTCTGGACCATCAAATAATAAATGTGACTAAAACTTCAGTATGATTTTTTGAAGAAGGAATTCTTTGATTGGGAAGGTTTACCAGTACCAAAACTATTGATAAGAAAATCCCCCAACCAGTTACCTGCCAGTGCCCATTCGCCAGTGCCATGTGAGTGACCACTGTAATATAAAATGTAGGTATCGTGTCTGGGTCCATCTGCTGTCCGAAGTTCAAGAAAAGACTTGATCTTGGAGTGAAGGGTATCAAAGGTCAGTCCGCTTGTAGAGTAGTCACAACCATACGTCTCAATCATGTGATACGCAAAAAATCTTTGTATGGCATTAAGCATGCCAGTAGATCTCAAATTTAACTCCTGTACATGCTCAGGTGGAAGAAGAGTTGGTTGTCCATCAGGACTAAAGAGAAGAAAAACAGCTATGATTATGATTTAGAATTATTTCATGCTTTGTGGACTTTTAGAAATTGGTGATTTTTTTTCCCTGTGCATATTTTCTCTGCTATGAAGTAGCACTGTTCTAAACTCAAACTGACTTGAAATGTACGGTTTATAAACAATTCAAAATACTGTACTTGAGCGAGGGATCACTATCTTCCCCCTCCCTTCTGTCACACTTCTTCACTTCAAGGCATAGTCCTTACTCAACCCCATGCTATTCCTGCAGCTGAGAGCCAGAGCAGCTGTGACATGAATGCACTAGCTAAGCTTCAACAATTTCATCAAGTCCCACTGAGAGAGCACTGCCTTCAAACAGGCACTTTTTCACACACAACTGGAATGAAGTGCAGGGAGAGTGACTGCTTCAAACATCATGCAAATTAGTTTCCAATAACAGACTAAAGAGAAATCCAAGCACACGTTTTGCTCAGATATATCAAGTTAATTTCTCTCTGTTCCAAACTAGCCTTTATTCAGTATGGTACTCACACAAATACAGGAATTCTTACTTGTGTGCTGTTCACATACTAATCTTTCAGCAGAAGAAATGCGTTTCAGGTAACAGTATTCACAACTTGGAAAAGTTCTAAGAAAATTACAACCTAGACCTGGAACGAACCATGTACGTATAGATGTGTGTCTGTCTCTCTCTCTCTGTATATATATATATATGAATGTGTATATATATACATAAACATGCGTATATAGCAAAAGAGTCCCTAGGTTCCAAAATGCATTGTATTTATATATATAGTCTATAAAAATTGAAATAGAGAATATCTAAAAATATATATATAAAAAGTACATACACACTTTTTTTTTTTTTTTAAACTACATAGCTATTCATTAATCATGACAATAAGAGATTTGTTCTTGCAAGACACCCAAATTATGGGAGCGCTCTTCATGATGTAATTTCAGAAAAATAAATGCATTCATCACTCTTCAGCCAACATAATAACAGTAATGATAAGGAGCATGACTGACAGCTATACCAAACTGGCCTGATTTATGCTTAGTTACAGACAGGGAGAGGTTTTGCGCCTGAAAATATGGAGATGGTCTTACTCTACTAATCCAATGTATGACTTCTGGTTTTTACATATATGCACGTATATGTATGTATTTGTCATGTATTTTGTTTGCAAGTCAGTGTGTAAAGCTACGTGGTTTCTTCACTGGTCTAACTAATTAAATTTTGCACCTCCTCACACGTCTGGTGCCTTCATAAAGGCTAATGTGTCACTACTACAATTATATTAACTACATCTTCACTACTGTTTGTCTCAGCAAGTGAAGACCAGGCCCATCATTGAAACAGTCAAGCTTTGTTAATATGGAAATTTAGTTCTGTCAGGTCCTAAACAGTTGCTTGAGAGTATCTCATTCACTCAAAAATTAGAGAGAACTGCCAGAACCAGAATAATATAGTGCAATGAAAGAATTAAATTGTTGCCATGGAAATTAAAATAATTTATTTATACTGTAATGTAAATTTTGTAAATGTGTTTTTTTAATCACCAACAATAATTGACTACATGGATTTTTTTAAGAGAGCAAAGCTGAAGACTGTAGATCAGAAGCTCAGAAAATTTGTTTTTACAGTATTTTATACTATTTGAGATACAGTGATCTAAGATCAGCATGCTACCTTTTGTTCTTTGCCTGTTAATTTTTTTCCCTACCCACTGAATCCGTTACACATACTCAAGATGGGTAGTTTTCATAAATTGGGCCCTTCTATTTTTAAGCCTCTCATTTCAACTTACTACTCTGTTTTTCTTGTAACTCAAATAGGTAACTTACACAGTTTTTGTTTATTGTTTACAAAAAGAAGTGAACACACGATTTTAATTATATGGCTGAAGTAGCAATTGCAAGTTTAAAGCTTATAAGAAAAACACACAAATGGGCAAATTGTAATAATACAATCCCTCCACCCCCAAGCATTTCTCATATGGTAACATTTATACTGGAATAAAAATCAGCTGCAAGTTCACAATACCAATAACTGACATGTGGTCCACTCACAAATCTAATGTCAATGTCCTTTAAATGCAGACACCCTCTCATTTACTAGAATTAAGATTTGTTTTGAACTGATCTGTTCGGTTTATTAAATCTCCTCCTGTAAAATATCTGCACTCGGTCAAACGCCCCAATCCTCCTTTGCGTGAAATACAGACTGTGGAATCTGCCTATGCATGACTGGTGCATAAAGCATTCACTGGCTTTCTAAAAGCCAATTAAATACATATAAAAAGGTAGAGTTGGAGTTAGTCATTCTTTTGCGAAGGTGAGGAAAAAGAGAAATACAAAATCTGCCTATTACTTCAATTTGTATTTAATTGTTGAAAAATACCAGCAACGGCACTGGATTGCCTCTACTAGTTAACAGTACACTTACACTACTGTGAAGCAGAAACAGATAGTAACTATACCTGCAAAAGTTGGTGGGAATGACAACAGCATACCCGACACACGTTCCTCCCAAGCAGTTTCCCAGCTCATGGAAGAGCCCATGAGCCATGGACTCCAGAGGTAAAACGATGAGAAATGCACTCATGAAGATCCCATTGGTTGGCTAAAAAGAAAATACAGACATTTCGGTATTGTATGAACAATCTTTCCTGCCTGTTGGTTACAGTTTGATGAATAATTCTGTGTGTTTGATCATATGTAATTGGGTCCTGAAACATGCAAGTTACTATACGTGAGGTATACTTACTTTTCCACATATTACATGGTAAACTACTCTTAATACAAATTAAGGGCTTGGGGTGGCTGGGTAGCAGGGCTCACTCTTCTGAAAGGAGTGCATTTGAAAACGCTAACAGCACAGGACTTAGGTTTAAAAGCAATGATCTATCTTAGCTTTACCCATTTCATCAGGAAAATCAAATGCCACAAAATTATTTGTGTGCATAAAATAAGTATATCTGTAAATACCTGCAGGTCAGGCCCGAATCAGTAAAGTACAACACAGAATATAAAGTACCTAGCATCAGATGATAGCATACTGTATTGCGTCATTAGAAATATAGATTTAACTATTCTGGCTTTTTAATATCAAGAGTTATATTCTTTGTGGAATGTCTCACATAAAAGATGACTTCTGAGAACATTTATGAACATTATTGCAATTAAAAAGACAATTCTTTATCAGCTACATAAGTATCAGATGAGAAGGGACATCCACTACAGGACTTCGTAGCATTCACAGAGCTGATACCTCACACTGAGCTTTTCTGTTTTGTAGGTAAAAAGCAGTTTTGGAAAAGACCACACTCACTGATACATAGAGGATTTCTGTAAAAAAAGAAGTTTCAGAAGTTAAGTCTCAACCACTAGTATTACTGAAATAAAAATGGACTTCTGAAATTCCATCTGTCAGTGAAAGACAGAACAGTTAGAGATACATTTTAATTACTTTAGTATGATGTGAATGGGTTTAATGAGGCATTAAATGCTTTAGGAAAGGTAGAAACAGTATTACAATATATAATTAGCCAAGAACTTTAATATCCACGGTGCAGTTATTAAATATTAATGTTTGTTACAACACAAAGGAAATAAATTCATAGCTACAGATTTCCATCTTCAGAGGAGTCCTGTGGCCTCTGACCACATCTCTGTTTTATTCACCCTCTTTGCATAAATCTACAATATTAATGTTTTTTAAAAGTCTGGATATTGCCTTATTGTTTAACACTCTGTGATTTGATGTGGTCTGGTAGTTCAACTTAACACATAGACAAAATTTATTAATATTTGGAAGTAAATTATACTGAAAAAAATGAAATCTAAACCAACTCAGTTCTTGTGGGCACATGGCACTATGTCAATTATATCCAGTTTTTAAACGCATAATTATTACAAGACAGTCTGAAAGAACAGTTTTACCCATCCAACATGCTTCCTGCCATAGGAAGAATACTGTTTGCTACCTGTCACCGTTTTGAAAAGCGTCCAATTGTATTTCTGATGGCAAGGATCTCACTTGTGTGTCCTTGAAATAGTGACAGCAATACTTCTAACCACAAATAAACACCAGAATTTGATATTAACTGATAACTAACTGATAGCATCAATAACTGATAGCTCTGTTCTCAAATAACTGGTAACTGTTAACCGATAGCATTATTCTCAAATTCCAGCATCTGAAACCACTATAAAACCATATCCAGCTCCTACTATGCTTTATACAATTCATGACAAATGAAAAGTTTATTTATTTAGCTTCTAGCTCTCAAGGAGATGAGGACGTGACGTTGAGCAGATATCAAATTGTAAGGGACCTTCCCCTTACCCACAGCCCTGCACACCTTATCACAAAAGTGCAATTAATATCCACATTGACTTGCTAACATTTGAACCACAAAACTGGTTCAGGTGTAACCAGTTCATCAACAGGTGATAATGCTAGTGTTAATACTGCAATCTGATTTTGTGTGCTATAATGGAATTTGATGTTTTGGTGCTAATAATTTGAATCTACAAGGACCAGTGTGTGCCTGTGAAGCACACATACATTATAGGAGATTCACAATCGCTTTTATGTACATAATTTTCTTAGCCACCTCAGAAGATACTTTGTATCCTGCCAAATACAATCCTTTCCTCCTCCCGGTATTGCCTACAGAGAGTCAGGATCCATGAGTGAGTGAGGAGATGGCATGTGTTTTGGTCAAGTGCAGAGAAGCATTCACACAGTGAGTTCTGTGTCAGTGAATAAGGGCTTTCAGAATAATCTCCCTCAAATCCATACAATTTCCTGAAATCACCAGAAGACAAGGAAGCTTAAAACATTGTAACAATTATAGTGCAACCTCAACTTGTTTTGTTGTCAATAAGGAGAAAAAAACCCCTGTAACTAAGACGATATAATTTTTGTTTCAAATGTATCAGCAGAAAATGCTCATTTTTTGTTGCTCAGTTTCCCAAATGCACTCTGAAAAGAAAAAGGCACAGCAGCGATAAAAACTTACAAATATCTGGTTTGTTTTCATTCTATAGAAACCTTGTAAAATATAAGACTTTGATGAAATAGTGGAGCGCTCTAGCTAAATTAGTTTCAAGATTCGGAGACTTACTTTTTCAACGGTAGATAACAGAAGGATGATTTGCTTTAAGTTACAAACACAAGGAAGACCTGGATCTTGCAGAAATTGAAGGGCTTGTCTGGAAAAGCTTCCTATTAATGATCAGTCAGAGGATTTTTCTAAACTTTGGAAAGACTGAATGCATGGGTCGTTGAGTATTTTAATGCATTTTTATGACAAATTCAGCTTTTCCGTCATACACAAATATGGCATACATAAATATTACTTTTCCTGGGTCTTGTTAGAGCAAACTGCTCCTATCTTGCATTAGTGTTTTGATCACAGTGAACATACTACAAAATAAAAACCACATTTGCCCATACAGCTATCATATTATCCTAAAGAATACTATTATATTATTACTTTATATGAATTTTATTGTAGATGTTTTCTTCCAACATGCCATGTTGTTCTAAGCACTCCCTGCATTTCCCTAATTCCCTAAAACACATGCAAGTTACTAAGCCTACAGAGTCTTCTACAATAACACAACTTGAGATCATTACAAAGATTAACAGCTTTCACCAAACTTCTAAGTGAGTCTGATTTCTAAAAAAATATTTACATTTAACTGTTGAAAGTACTCCTGGTAACATGAAGATACTGGCAAGAAAATTCACAAGTACTTGTGAGATAAGGATCCTATATAGAAACTGTAAGGATCGGCTCAGAGATCCATCTTACCCTGCTTTGAGTTTGTACCAAGTATTAATGAGAAATAGGAAATACACTCTATATTGCTATGAAACAATTCAGCTCCATCGGAATTTTCAACTTCATTTAGTGGCCATCTTACACAACAGAGTAGGAAAGTATTGTCAGCATGGAGATTTTATAAGTATAGACATCTATCTAATGTAAAGATGCTGACACTTGCTGTCAGAAATTTTTCAACAGTTTTGATTTAGAAGAAATATATCACTAACATAAGAATGATTAATGATGTTTAGAGCAGCTTTTTAGCAAGATAGTAAAATATTTTAATTCAGCTCTGCAAAAAATGACTAGTGGCATTTAAAAATATCTATAAGAAATTGAAATAGCAAAAAAACTATCTAATGAAGTTGGTAATTACAGTACGTCTGAAATAGGTCCCTCTCTTAAGACAACAGCTAAGATGCCAGCTGGAGACTGTCAGTGCCTTAATAAATCCAAAAGATTTGGTGACTGGTCCTTAATGGAGCAGATGGCCATGGATGCATAGGCGGAGCCAGAAGGGGATTTTCTTCTTTCATCTCTTCAACCCATTTTCAGTTTTCTATTGCACTGGCAATCTCAGCCTGCAGTGCATCCCTGTACTCGCTGCGTGCCCGTCGATTCCAGACAGACTGGCTCAACCAGCAAACAGAACACAGTGACCATCATCTCAGCAATCCCACCGAAAACATGAAAAGCCATTTTACCTCTTTGTCTTTGGGATTTTTTATCTGTCTTCTTCTAAATGAATATTTAGGAAATACGCAATGTATTCTCATTTCAAAGAATGTAGAAAAAGTAAGAAAAAAAAAAATAATTCTTGCCTCTGATGAGTAAAATTACAGACAATAAAAGATGGGTGAAATTTACTAGTAGTATTAGCTTTCCACTTTTTTTAGCTTTTCAACCAAGGCTTATTGTTAAGTGTAACTGTTAAAACAGCAGAAAAATTTAGAGGTATTTTACAGCCAAGATATATAACTTTGTACTCATGGATCAGACAACTCCAGTCCCAATGAGTAAACCACAGCTGGAAGTGGAACAATTCTAGAACTGTAATAATGGAGCATTACTGACATGTGACTGACAAAAATAACAAGGAAGAAAAAAAATAAAAAATAAAGAAACATTAGTTTAAATTGGAAGCCATTTACAAAGCCCTACAGAAGAGCTCTTCTGATTAAAATAGAAATAAATTACTAAACATATGTCAACTAAGATGATTACAGAATCACCAAATGGTTGAGGTTGGAAGGTGCCTCTGGAAATTGTCTGGTCCAACCTGCTGCTCAACCAGAGCCACCTACAGCAGGCTGCCCAGGATTATATGTAACAGTCCAACAGCTGGGGAGGTTTATAAAGATGTCTTTGTGTATTTCCAAGCAAAAAATCTGCCCCGCTTTCCATTATCCAAGCTGAATAATATTTACCTATTTTTATATATCCATATATACACACACATAAGTAAATATAAAATAAATAGTCCTGCTTAGCTCCTCTGCAGTGATTCTGCAAAAATGAAGAAGTATACACTCCATAACAGAGAAGGCTCAGGAGAAAAAAGGTAATGTGATAACTAATCTACAAATATTTGACGAATAGCTCATTCCAAATGAAAACAAGATATGTATACTAGAGGTAAAGAAGCTTAAAGACAAAATTCGTAAAGTTACAATGTAGATCCACTACTAGAGAAAAGAGTCTTATAACAAGTTATTGAATGAAAGAACAGTCTCTGGAGAACAGTAACTAAGCCATTACTTCTGACTATTAAAACAGCACTGGG